CGTCCAACTCATCATTTCCCACTTGAGTTCCACTTGAAGGTCTGGTTAGTGATGTCACTCACTTAATCGATTGACCTACCCTCTTTACGTAGCGTTTTACGCTTCAAGTGGATATTATTATTTCTTTTATTATTCCGTTGGGTTTCGAGAGGGATATGGGGCTCCAGAAACACATCTCCATTTTCTAGCACTCTCTGCTGTCCTCTTTGTCTGGGTCTACGATTGACCATAATCTCTCATCTCTTCCTCCTCCTCCTCCTCCTCCTCCCTGCCGTACGATATCCTCCATGTCATCCTCGCACTGACGACCCAATCGACTCTTCTCATTGGGATTCCACTCAAGCAGTGGGCTGCATTGAGCGCGATATCATTTGACGGCCTCCTTAATGCATACTCGATCCATGTCTATTTTCTCCTACATATTTGTTGAGCAATCAGCTCTTGCTTGTTGTTTTGTTGCCAGCTAGAGTTTCTTGTTGCTAATTGTTTTTCGTCGACTGGCCATTTGATCTTCATTATGCGACAAACCAGCGAAGCGAGCACCTCTTGATAAAAGTTTGAAGTAGCTTGTTGCATATGCTCTTCGTGTGATGTGCACTCCAAGCTTCTGACCCGTGTAGAAGAGGTGACTTGGCTTGACATTTGTGTTGAAAATCTGAATCTTGTTGTTTGTGCTGAGGTGAAGTGCAGAGGATATCCAAGCTGGTTTGCTTATTATTGATTATTTAGTTCGATTAGGACTTTTCCGTTGATAGATTGGACCGAAGTGTTTGGCCCCTGTTGACATGTCGGCTCCACACATGGCTTCTTTTGCAGATGCTTTGACGATGTCTGGACATGTAATCAGAAGTTAATCGGTGGATGGTGACTAACAGTGGAATCAAGCTAGGATGTGAATTTCGTCCTACTTGGAACTCGTCAACTGGATATACCTGCATTCCCCAGTGAGTAGTGGATGATGTTCCCACCACTGAGGCTCGAACCCAGTGCCCATAGTTTATAACGCCAAAGCGCTATCCACTAGGACAGCGTTTGAAACTATGGGCACTGGGTTCGAGCCTCAGTGGTGGGAACATCATCCACCACTCATTGGGGAATGCCGCTACATCCAATGGCTGACGAGTCCCAAATAGGACGAAATACGCATCCTAGCTTGATTGATTCCACTGCTTTTAGTCACCATCCACCAATTAACACGTATCCTATCATCTGAATATTGTATTTCTGATTCACTGGTAAGGGCGATGACAATTCCCTCCTTATACATATACCGTGCCTCCTATCATCCATTGAATTTTCTCATGAATACCATGCCACCGATCTACATTATCGTCGTTATTATTATTACTTTATTTGTTTCAATTTCACCATCGAATCATGTGACATAAGCATAGTGTTTTAGGCTGTTTTATTTTTCTTAAACATCATTTTCATAATGATCAGTACACGTGACCTCGTGTGTTAGGCTACTTCTACCCACTCGTGCGTGTGTGTGTGTATTTGAATGTGTGTGCGTTCACGGGTATGCGTCAGTGTCTGTTTGTAGGCGAGTGTGTGTGTCTATGTGTGTGTGCCTGTGCGCATGTCTATCATCACACATACTGATGAAATAAAGATATGCATTTTCATGCATAACTCTGTTACTACTTATTATATTGAATAAAAATAATCACCTGATCTGAGTAGTTTGGTAGGCTATCAATATAAAATTATAATTTATGAGAGGGTAGGTATTATTAATGTGTATATATTAACTTACTCCTTTTTCTTAGAGAAGCAAATAATCTCTCTAGTAGAGGGAAGCTACATGGATGCATGCATGCATGCATGTAGGTAGGTAGGTAGGTAGGTCGGTAGGCAGGCTGGTAGATATGCATTCAAGGCATCAAGTGAACAAAACAGGCAGGCAGACAGACAACAGACTGTGGGTTTTGGTAAATTGAAGTAATTTCGTGGATGATGACTGATAGGTCAGTGGAATCCAGTAGGGGGATTTCATCCTGTTTGACGAACTCGTGGATGGTGTCCCCACTGTCTCCACTAGACTGGCATGCTTTCACATCTTCATCCGTGCTGTCCGACTGCCTGTGCCTGAAACCATGCTTCCTAGTCAGATAAGTGAAGTCAGTAACCTCTGTGAAACCTCTCTTATCGATATGACTGGTGATATTTGTTGTTGCTGTTGTTAGTTGGTGGTTGGTTATCTTCATCACCTCCGTCTTCTCTATGTTCTTCAACTGGAGTCCTGTCTTCACCGCTATCCTCTTCTGCCAGTTTGTTGGTTTTCGCCTGTGAGTCTTCTATTTTGTGTGTGTGTGTGACATCAAACATAAATCATCCACTGAGAAATCCATATCTTCTAGATTCTTCTTATTGGTCCAGCATTTTTCTTTCTTCTCACTCCACACAGTTTGACAATATGATTTTGAAGATGAAATCTATCTAACACTTGGATCCGAGCTACAGATGCTTTTGACCTATGAGACCCTAATGCATATAGGTTACGTCATCATGTTGTAACAACAAAAGACAAGGGCCAGGTAACAGAACGTTTATTACGGAAAATCAACACATATTTATAGATTTTGATCTACACTATTGTAGGTTAATGTCAGTAGAAAATGCAGTCTGTTGATTAGTTGTTTCTCACACAAAGTTAACCTTGTATCTCTTGTGGCTGTGTCAGTTCTGTATCTGCCTGTCCATCTTGACCTTGACCTCAATTACTGTCAACCAATTTGGCTAGCAACCATCTCTCACCACAACATGACTAATATTTGATACATAAACATTGACCTCAATTACTGTCAACCACTTGGCTAGTAGACAGCTCTCATCACAATTGTCATATGGACTAATGAATGTTCGTTACTGTCAGTTGATCATTCCCCACACATTAGCTGCCCAGTTAAGTCTCCCTCTTTGTGAATTAGAAGGAGGAGAGGGTGGCACTATATCACAAGTTAGAATTCAACAGTCATTAAATTCAACGACCTTGGTGTGGTAACACATTGTTCCTGAATTCTTTCCCCAGTGTTGAGATTTTAGGTTTTATTCTGATGAAGAGTCACAGACTAGGTCGAGACATATTTAGTAAGTAATTCATTCACCAGAAAGTAAACCATTAATGCAGAATATTTGTAAAATTATAGAGCAGGATGACTGAATTTATGGGAGTCTAGTAACTGAATGATCAACATGCTGAACATGAAATCATGAGTGCGGATCATGATAAACGCGTACAAAAAACTGGAGTGTCAAAAGTGTCAAAAAAAGACTATTAGGTTTAACGTAACACTGTTTTATTCATTTTTTTATTCCTTTAGGTTCCCATTGGAACATTGGGTGCCTTCAAGCTAGAGGCTTGAAGTTTCGGTAACAGGGGTGTTTATTTTTACGGGATGGGATCGCTAGCCAGCCTGATGCCCAACCTTCCCTCTTTAACAGTCTTATTACTGGCTTAGCGAGACGAAGGAGTGCGTCAGTGGCCGAGGACCGAACCCCTGACCACAAGAGTGGTTGGCGAGCATTCTACCGTTGTGCTACCGACGCACCGCTTTATTCATTTGGTTCCAGTTATCTGTCCATAGTGAGACGGACAGAACTCACTTGTGTGGGATAGGTTCGTTCTGTGTCTGGCTACATATGAGTCAGATTTATTGTATGAGAATAGAATATACCACTAACCAGTTTCCAAGACTGAAGTAAGGAGGGAAAGGTTCCAAGATCAGTAGTCAGTGTCTCAAAGTTGAGTTCCCAACCCACTGAACCACATCTTCACACCAGTTATTTGTAAGAAAGTATTCACTGGAAGAAATTCATTAGAATAACTATTTATGCAGAATAAATCAGATAGAATAATGTACCCACAAGTTGATGATTATTTATTGAAATTACTGCTTCTGAACTCCCTGTTGACTGATTTCGCCAGGTTGATATTACCAGTTACTATTTATATGCCTGTTACTGCTAGTACAGCTGAATCTCCAACTGCTTGAGACTAATTTGTTACTATTCCGTTGATAGTGACTAGCAGTGTGCTTTTCCTCTTCTATTTACAACTTGTCAGTGATAAGCATACACTAGTATCCTCAGTGGATGGCGATTTTCTCATTAAAAATCACTGTTGCCTGGTGAATAATGTTTTAAGTTTGATTATGGATTGCAATATGATTTGAGGAACCATTGAAAAGCCAGGCGAGAGTACTGGACAGCCAGCTGTTTCGTCTTAGTTTGGAACTCTTTGTCAGTACTCACCCACCCCGCTCATCACTTCCGCCTGTTGTTGAAACGATGCTTCCCAGGTAGGTAAGTGAAGGAAGTTGTTTCTTTCAGGTTCCTCCCATTTATGCTGATTGTTGTCTGTTGTTGTTGGGCAGGAATCTTCATCACCTACCCCTGTTTTCTCGATGTTCACCTGAAATCCTATCTTTGATGCTCGCCTTTTCTGCCAACTGCTTGCTTTTCACTTGCATATCTTCCAGTTTGTGAGAAATCAGACATATATCACATCGGCGAAGTCCAGATCCTCAGTCCATTCTATGCCTGTTTCCTCATTGCCCGCAGCTGTTTGTCGCATTATCTCTGTTTACTGTCTCTATTTTGCATTTCTTTTTTACTTTCTTCTTCTCTTGCTTCGTGTGCTCCATAGGGAGAGTGTGGCGATTCGAACTGCTGCACATCAGTGCAATGTAGTTCTATGTTGAAACCAGTCAGTCAGTTAGTCAGTCGATCAGTCACTAAATTAGATTTGACTAATCACAATAGCTATTATTATTAATATTTGTCTATCCTCATGTGATCAGTCTTTTTTCTTTTCTCTTTTTCATCGAGTACAAGCTGTAGTATATATGTATATACATCATCTGACTTCTCAGAAAATTAAACATCGGCCTTCTATATAAATTACGAAACATACAAACACACATACATACATACATACGTATATATCTTTAGCATCCCACACACATTCAGACGCAGTAAGTAAATACCACTAAGTCATGTGTGTAATAATTAAATATCTATACACACATACATACACATACAGATGCAGAGATTGTGAATGCTTACTTTTCAAATTAACCTAGTTTAACGAAGCGTTGACTTTGCTAGACATTTTTGAATCAATTAGTTTAGTGGATGGTGACTGTAGCAGCTAAAGAAGCCGATATGTCAACCTCAGGCTAAACATTTTTGGTTCAATCAATCCACCGGAAGGTTCAAATTGAATTCACTATAGTGACTAATACCCCCTGCAGAAGACGTGGTGGCTCTTGTGGCGTTCGAGACGATGACTACTGGCTTCGTTTCTCATTGGTGAACACCCCCACTCACTGGGGAGTGCGAATACATTAAATTTCAATAAACTATATATATATATATATATATATATATATATATATATATATATACAATGGAAGTCTTACGGAATCCTTCGAAATAAAGACGGCAGTTAGACAAGCTGGCTGCCTACTATCGCCAATGATTTTCCTGATTGCGGGCGGTAGATTGGATAATGCGACAGACAGTGGCGGGTAGCGAGGAAACAGGCATAAAATGGACTCACACAAAAAAAAATTGGAGGATCTGGACTTCGACGATGTGATATATATCTGATTTCCAACAAGCTGGAAGATATACAGGTGAAAAGCAACAAGTTGGCAGAACAAGCATTCAGAGAAGATAGGACTACAGGTGAACATAGAGAAAACAGAGGTATGTGATGAAGATTCCTGGCCAACAACAGCAGCAACAACAGACAACAATCAGCATACATGGGAGGAATCTGAATGAAACAAACTCCCTTACCTACCTACCTACCTACCTGGAAAGCATCGTTTCAACTACAGGCAGAACTGACGAGGATATCAAAGCAAGGATCGGGAAAGCAAGGCAAGTTTTCACTACTCTCAATTCTGTGTGGTGATCAACAGCACACTCAGCATGAAAATGAAAATAAGATCCGGATTTTCAACTCAGTGCTACTCTAAACGGATCAGAGACTCGGCGCCACGCCGCGTCACGAAGGCCACTTCGAACAGCTTCGAACTACATACCTTCATCAACAGCTGTCTTCATTCAATACTACTCAAGATCAGATGGTGGGCTAAAAAAGATCAGTAACGGGGATTTTTGGGAGCGAACCAACCCAGCAGGAACCAATTATACAACAAATATGCAGGAAGAAATGGAGGTGGACTGGCCATACTCTGAGAGAACAAACCATCAAGTGAGTGACATCACACGCCAGGCCATCGCTCGAGTGAAAGCCGAATGGTCGTCATTGCGAGGAGGACATGGAGGAGACGATGCCAAGAGAAGATGAAAGCATGTGGGCAGACGTGGATCCAGGTGAAAACGTCGTCGGGGAGGGAGAACCGAACGCAGTGGAAACGTGCGGCTGAAGCCCTATGTTCCTCTAGCAACTAAAGGAGATATTAATAATAATAATAATAATCGTAATGCGATGTGAATCTTAATTCTATCTTTACATTTCGTCTTTTACATCTAACAATACCTGATTTTTATCTAATCATCTATTTTTCTCCTTCCTAATATTTTTTCCTTAGCAGATATCAAATTATCATTGCAAAAGGAGTCCACCTCACTTGTGAATAATCCTTATAATCAAGTGAAAAAGACGGGGACACCTTCAACATTCAACAACAACAACACCAACAGCACTACATCCAGTTCTAATCATCAACTGGATGAAATTGATCATGAAGAATTAGAATCAATCATCTCTTTAATAAATGATCATGATCACCATTTAACGGATCATTATAATCCGATTGAAAACTTGAAAAATCATCATCAATATTATCAACAAGTATTGAGTTCAAATTGTATACCACAACTCCAACGACAGAAACACGAAGAGAATCATAATATACACCACCACCAACAACAACAACCGCTGTACTCTCCGCCTAGACAATACAAATACTTAGAAAGACAACTCAACGAATACAAACACTGTGATGTCTTAGATGTTCAAGATGAAGAAGAACGGCTACTATTACATGACTTATTCTTTATATGTAATTAGACAGGAGAAACTTTTTTCTGATGAATTCAAATATACATTATAGGATCTTTATGTGTATACATAAATAATTGTGTGTTTTTATGAATTACTTACTATTAAAAGGACACTGGACAAGTTGGAGGCAATCAATCGGCAGGAAGCCTCGCCTGACCTAGGTCGCATGCTAGTTGGCACTTACCAGTCAGTCAGCAAAGCGTATCTGCAAGGCCACACATTGCAAGCTTGACTGATAGAATTCAGTTTGCACACACACATTACACTAGTTACTGACTACTGTCCAATCAAAATATCCAATACAGTCCTACAGAAGGTCAATCGCGAGCCCGAGTAATTAGCTCAGTGGTAACGTCTCTGACTGAAGCACTGGCTGGTGACGCGGGTTCAAATTTCAGAAGGGACATGAGTTCCTTCAAGGCAGTTGCAGATACGCCTTGCTAACTGACTGGTGAGTGCCAACTAGCACAAAATCTAGGTGTCAGTTGGGCTTCCTGTCGATTGCCTCCGACCATCTTATATGATCAAATCAATATGCACCGTGATGGCGAGCTACCTTGAATGAATGGTGGCCACATTGCAAGCCTGACTGATAGAATTCAGTCTGCGCCAAAGAAAGGACCAGACACATCACACTAGTTACTAGTGTCCGATGAAAGTACACTGGACAAGTACTGGAAATAGAAGCTTCATCAGTTGGGATTTATTTTTAGGATTGCTATGAAAGACAGACAGAAAGACTGCATTGAGAGATTGAGTGAGGCCAAGGATGGGTAGACTTCGGTTATCCTCTCCAGATATACTCTCATGTTGACACGCATTCATAGTCTCTCCTAGACAGGTGGGTCTTATTCACTATCCTTCAGGTGGTGGCATTGTTGTTCACAAAAGTCAAGAGGCGTTTAAGTAGGGTAGTTGAAAAATGTGCGGGAGAAATAATCAAAAAGTGGAAACACATAACAGTTTGATGGAGATATATCACAAATAATGAATAACATTTGCGCTATCACTAACTGAGAACGATTTTGAGCCATATCACCAATAGCCTCCAGCCAAACGACCTACACCTTCCTACATGACTGACTGGCTTGCTGAAACCAACTTTCATAGACTACATTAACTGATTCCAGGTTTTGGTTTGATCACCACTTCTCCCCCCTCACCTTATGTTAGATAACAATGTTTATAGAGGAAGGTAGTGGTTCGGGATGTGCAACATATGTCCTACCCCTCTCAATCGATTCGATTCACCTTCATAACTTCACTGATTGGCTTACCTTTCTTTAGAAAACAGAAAGATTGAGCGAAGAAATATTTACTTTTCAATTAGATCCTCATCTCTCTCTGGCTCTACTCTAATATACACCTATAGCACTTTTTATTACAATACACAACAGTTTACCAATCAAGTGGCACTGATATGCATGTTAACAATAATTAGTCAGTGTCAACATGTCAATGGGGTGATAATTAACGAAGAAAATCAATACACACAATTAAAAGGTAGAAATGGATAGAATAAATTAATTTTACAAGGATAACACGTAATTAAAGATGAAGTGGTCAAAATAAATAAAAATAAAATAATTTGGACAATTATAATTTTTATAATTTTAAAGGTTTAGGGGGAAGGGGGCGACGTAGTCCTGTTTATGCATTCTTCTAGAGATGGCCACGGTAAGGAAAGTGGCTGTACAAATTTCTTCTGAACACATAGGCTTGGCTTCTTCAGGTGGATTCCGATTGCTTCAGCTGTCTGTAGAAGACGAACTCGTAGAGCAAAGTTAAGATTAATCGGAATGCGATAAATAACTTTAAATGCAGTATTAACATCAACCTTATGCTCAGTATCAACAAGGTGTGCTAAAATAGAACTACGAATAGATCTTGTTTGTCCCTTGCTTAACCATGATGGATGATGTTCAGAAATACGATGATGAAACTGCCTAATTGTACGCCCAATGTAGCTGGCTCCGCAGCTGCAGTCAAACTGGTAGATACACATAGAAGAGGCAAATTTAGGTAGTTTATCCTTATTTCTCGAACATAGAATAGGGGTGGTTTTGAAGAGACAACGTACCTCTGCTGCATAGTAAGCTCTTTTAACTGCATTCTTCAGGCGCTGTGTTATGATTTCGCTGATGTTGTCACCGAGGAACTGCAATTTTATGAAAATTAGTTTCTTCGGAACTGTAGCCATACCGACTCTCCTTGATGCTGAATTCATATTTTTCTCAATGAATTTATCTGGATAACCATTTTTTCTAAGTAATTCTCTAATAATCTTAAGCTCCTCATTGAGGCAGTCGTCTGAACAGCTTAACTTAGCTCTATGAACCAGACACTTTACCAGGTTACGTTTATATTTCAAAGGTACAAAACTCAAAAAATGAGTGTACTGACCTGTTGTTGTAGGTTTCCTATACACACTCCTTCTTAGTGTGCCATCATCTTTCCTTGCCATGAAAACGTCTAGGAATGAGATACTATCATTACTTTCTTTCTCTATGGTAAAGTTTATTGCTGAATGTGTATCATTAAGCTTGTCAAGAATGTTCATTGCATCATCCTCATCTTTCATAACCACAAATATGTCATCCATATATCGACAGTAGAAATCCATGTCATTAATTACTTCTTTCAGTGGTCCATTCTTTAATTTAGCGATGAAAATATCAGCTAGGATTGAACCTAATGGGGAACCCATAGCTACACCATCAATTTGTCTGTAATATTCCTTATTGAATAACAAATGAACATTCATTGTACATCTTAAAATAAGTTCCTTCAAGGTGGAACTTTCTTTCTTAACACTCTATGTGTCTAACCTCAAAATTACTCTCCACATTATATCACTCAACACAGAAGAGGTAGAAGGCAGACACCTATGGTGAAAGACACAGCTAGCTGGCCTTTTCACATCATCCAGTTTTAACCGCCAGCATATCTCACAGACATTTAGGAGGACAAAGAGTGTATGCATACTCATTTCCATATGAATAATAAACATTGGAATAATTGAGAAGATTTGTAGCTCAGGACAACATAACCTTTATTGAAATTCATCAAGAAAAAATGAGCTAATTGCTTTACTAATAATTTTGTTTTAGAAAAAGAATAGTACAGTATTCAAACAATTAGTCTTTTTGATAAATTTGAATAAGACATTTAGAAGATGAATTTAATTGGTGGATGGTGACTAGCAGTGGAATCAATCAAGCTAGGATGCGTATTTCGTCCTATTTGGAACTCGTCAGCAAGTGGATGTACCTGCATTCCCCAGTGAGTGATGATGTTCCCACCACTGAGGCTAAAATTCAATAAAATATTTAGAAGATGAATTTCGCGAGATGATATCATCATTTCTTAGTTTCTTTACAACAGCTTTACCAATAACCTGGTTAACAATAACAACAATAAAATAAAATGCATGACAATTACTCAGTTAGTTATATAAATAAAATAAAAGAAGTACATACTAATGACTAATCATATTTTTAAATAGGTCAAGTATAGTCAGTTCATGGTAGGCGAAAGAAGGTTGAAGTCTATTGTTGTTGTATTTTTTTTTGCACACGTAGTTTACGATGTGTGTATGTATGTGATGATTAATCCAAAGTGCTTCCATCACCTTTAATAACTGTGAAGCAGTCATTAATTAATATTGATTTTATAACGTGACATTAATAAGTGTTTTGCAATGGCTGATGATGATGGATTTCTATTCAGATTAATAATTGTATTAGAATTTTCTTCTATGTGTTTTAATTACCACTTTGGAACAGGTTCTTTTCGACGACATTGGAACATTCTTTTGGATCTACGCAACTGCAGATGAACTTGTAGATACAGTTTGAAGTAGAGTCCATAGAATTTCATCTTTTAATCGTAGGTAGGTACAGGGACGAAAGATGTTCGAGATGTGAGGGAAAGAGAGGTGGCGTAGAATGTGCGTTTGATGGCCTACGGAAGTCTTTGAGCTGTCAACTGCATAATCTGGCCACCGCTGAATGGTAGGTCAATAAAGATGTGGTGAGAGCTGTCTACTAGCCAAATTGGTAGACAGTAATTTACTTCAATATTTACGTTCCCAAGATTTGTCGTGAGAAAATGTGAACAAAGACTGATTCAAAACCGACCACAGCAGACTTTGCGTAGGCGGATGCAGGGATGCAGTTAACATATAGAGGATTTGACATACAGGAAACAGTCACAAATAGATGAAAGATTAACTTTACGTGAGAAACAACCAATCGGAAGACTGTGTTTGTTTGCTTAAACATCCATAGTAATGTACATGAAATATATATAAATATGCGTTAATTTCCTTAATAAATGATCTGTTGCCTGACTCTTGCCTTCTGTTGTTACAAAGATAGCTTTCTTTGGCACAGAAGCTGTCTTTTCTCAAGATGTATTCTGTCCTTACTGTAACAATTGATAAAGTTTTCTGGATATAACTATTAGCTAATAAAACTGAATGTATACCTGTCGAAGCTCATCCATCAATGTGTGGAATAACTGAGAAGATTTGTAGCTCAGGATAACAAAATACTTCTCTATTCATATAAGTATAAAACTTAGCCATTGTGGTATAACTCCATTATGGATAAGATTTTATTTTGATAAGTCACACAGTGTTACACAGTAATATTAACTGCCTGTAGTTGAAACGATGCTTCCTTGCCAGATAAGTGAAGGAGGTAACCTCTTTTAAATCTCTCCCTTTTATGATGGTGGTTGGTGCTTAAAGGAACTATAATAAGCAAAAGTGTGTAGTAGAAAGAATCAAAAAGTAGGATTCTTAATAAAGCAGGAATTAGGGTGGCATTCAAACCCTCCTACAAACTCACTCAGGTAGGACAAGCTCTGTAGGCTAAAAGACCCGGTGGACCCAATTAAACAAAATAATATAATTTACAAAATACCTTGCAATGACTGTGATTGTGGTCAACTACATAGGTAAGTCAAACTAGTAGATCGGGGGTAATCAGATTGTCGGAACA